CGCTTACATTTTAGGGAAGGCGTTTACTACCCGATTCGTAAATCTACAGAAAAATGCATGTTCCAAATATTTTTAATAATTTGAAATTTAATTTAGCCACATTTGGCGCTTGTGTCAAGTTGGCGCCTGTGGCAAGTGCTTCCTCTGCCTCCCCTGTTAATCCGGCCCTGTACTATAACAAAAATAAATGAAGGCTTGAACAGCCAAATAAGAATTATATTTTTCTGTCAATTATGTTGGTACAGTCGCACGCAAAATTATCGTCGGTATCCCGCTGTGATAGGGATTACCATTAAAGTTGTCTTCACAGCGGGTGAGCCTACTTATGCGCGGTTTCCATGATACAATAATTCTCAAGATATGATACTCGTGCGGCTCAAAATGAGACCATTTCGCGCATGACGTCACTCAGAGAGTAGCACTATTGGAATTTCAACATAAAAGCACGAAGAATCGCCAATATTTTTAATTTTTACTGTTATAATTCTTTATGTATTTAAAAAAGTGTGTTGTATGTACAACCTCTATATTATATGTATTTATAACGCTGCATAAAATGACCGGAAAAATAAATTTACGTATCTGTCTGAATTAAATTGTAAAAACGAATTTAAGGGAGTTTGATAGGCATTTTTATCGTGTGCGACAAATTAAAATTTCGCGTTTAATATTATTTTTCGTGTACTCAATAGAAAAATGCGCCTCTTTGGAGATAATTATAAAATGTGCTATTTTTCTCGTTAGTAACACTTTTCCAACCATTCAGCATAACTGATGTCTCGTCCGCTTTATTTGAATTTTTTGTTCTTCTCAATCATTCATCAAAGTATTTGTAACACCTTTCATACTTTTCCTAGTATTTTACGGGCACCACATTCGCAATGGCTTCTGCAGATTATCTGAAAATGCCAAGATCTTCAGAATGAGCCATTTTTTGCTTTTTTACGTTTTTATTTGATTATCAATCATGAACATACTTGTTGTTATGGTAATTGTTTACATTTAACACAAACATAATAATTATCGTAAATTGAAATCTACTTTAGAAATTCCGTTTTAAACTTTGAAAAACTGAGTACACGAAAAAATAACATGTTCAACACATAAGAAAAATGTGTTTTTTCTTTTTCGCTCCCTTCGATAATTAAACCTTCCATTAAAACAACCACTTTTTACTACTTGTAAAACAATCTATTATTAACAGAACAAAAAATGGTTTCGACACAATTGACAAAAACAACATTTTACCACATAATCTGAACTTAAAAATAAGAATTTTTAATAACTACTAAAAATAAATACAATGTACCTACTATTGAACCGTGTGTGTGCATCATTTTTAAAAGTGGCCATAGGGATCCCCATGTTAAATTTTATACCCCATATTGTTATTAAGTTTGATTGTTTTGCTTTTAGGAAGACATAACGAAGGCACAGTTCCAGACTTTAGTTTCTTTAAACTTTTTTTAGGGAGATAATTCAAAAGTTCGTATTGCAAATTTCGTTCAAAATCGTTTTCACTAAAATGCTGCGAACACACTCTTGCATTTTTTACTGTAAAAGAGTCCGAACGACAACAAGAAATAACCCATAATAATTGTCTTGTAACATTGTCCCTTGGAAATGAATAAAATTTTATGTCGTTCCGAAAATGTTTTGATTGATTATCGCTATTACACCCAAAAACGGCACAAGGCATCGTTGTAACTTTATAAAACCATTATAAAATAACGTGCACCCCCTAACTTTCTAAAAGGCACGTGGAATACCTAAAAACGTCGCAAAATACGCGCGAAATGCCTGTGTTTACTCTCTGAGTGACGTCACTCTCCCACTCCGTACCTGCGCAATATCATACCTGGTATTTATTGTATCATGCGCGGTTTCTAGTAACAAATTTGTCGATTCAATAGTTATGTATTCCATAAAGCACGAAAATCGTTTCTGAAAGCTTCAACAGTGTTTATGTATCTCATAAGGCTCCACAAGTTATCGCGCCTTCAAGCAGCAGATAAGAATCTATTTATTTATTAACCTACAACGTCTGCGCCACAGACTACACAGACAAGCCACTGCCCCACCAGTGACAAACGAATATAGTCTTTAATTCAAGAGTCCAAACAGTCGATTTTAATTATTTTGCCGTTGAACACAGGAAAATGACGGTTTAGGTAAGAATGACCTGGATTTCGTTCAAAAATTTGCAAAATTTGTAGTGGCTACCTTGTTTAGTGGAAACTTTTAGGAAAATGTAACTAGAAATACTAAGGTTTTGACACTTTTGGTAGGCCTGCGAGTCCTGCGAGAGCAGAATACATAAAACGAAGGTGCCACAACGGGCACGCATCCGACTCCAATTGCGTAACACCAAAGGCCATCCCAGCGAGGAAAAATTGTAATAAGTAGGAGAGATATCACACATGATATGCCCTATACCCTCTTTTTTAACCGGTATACCTGCATTAAAAAAAAAGAACCAATTGTTTACATGTGCGTTTATTATACATACAATACCAAGTAAAGGGTAAGCCAATTCATAAATTTTCGAAGATTATTAGTCTTCTATTTTTGCTAGGTATGCCAACTGCTTTTTATTATGCAATTTTAAAGTTTAAAATATGCGCATCCTAATAAATAGCGCCACTAAATATTCCTGCGGGAAGTTCTCACATTGAATAACGGATAATTGATTTTTAATGTTGTGTCCAACATGTGAAGGAATGGAGTATTCTTTAAAGAGTCCATTAAAGGAAGTTTCCAATTGAGCCACATAATGGCCAAAAACTTCATGTGGCATGTGCAGCTTTCCAAACGGTAAATCACTTGTGTCATATGCACGAAAATGACATAAAAATGTATATGGTGCCAGTGTGCCACAGGCATTTGCGTACTCATGGAATATTTGACAAGAATGTTTTCGCAAACATTTACCAATTAAAAAGCCACAAATATATCGTAGAATATTTTGATCACGTAAGTCAAGATTTCTTTCTGTATTCAGTGGAATCAACTTCCAGCCCTCTGCCAATTTGTTGGGATGTGTCAACAGTCTTAATTTGGGGCATAGTTGGCATGTCTTCACTTTTTGTTAAAATAGTGGCTAAATCATCCTCACAATTTGCTGCAGAGCTGTGCTGCATAGATTTCATCGCAAACAGTTTTATGAACGCTCTTTTGAATTGAATCGGTGTGGGATTGTAACAGTTACCACTTTGCTGTCTGATCGTTCCAAAAAAGTTTTCCACAAAGTCTTGATTGAACCGTCTTGTGGGCAGCGGTTTGTTCAATTTATTATAAATGCCTAACAAACTATTAATTGTAATTTGCCAACACTTTAATGACTTAATTCTACTAGTGACATCTTTTCCGTCTGGCTGTATGACTTTTACTGTTGCAAATAAATGCAGCATCTGTTCTAAGTGTTGGAGTTGAAATTCACTGGCTTTAAAAATGCTTTTATAAGAATGATCTGCCCTAATTTTTCCAGTAGAATTGAATATATCAAATAGATTATTAATGTCCGAAATAAATTGGATAGTTGATAGTGCAGCAACTGCTCCTTCATTGTTAGCCACCTCTGTGGTCATTCCGCTGGCAACTTGATTGCTAAATAATTGCGCAGCTAACTTAACTTTCATCTTATCGAAAGCACCAGGATTGATATTGGATTGTGTTATTTTTGGTGCATATCTTAAATTTCGCGTAGAATCTCGTTCAAAAAATGCACGTACATATCTGCAGCTAATTACATTTCCACTATCTAACAGAAAATCGTATTTCATAAAGCTTTTTTTTATTGCTTTAAGTAGATGACAGACATCAAAAAAGTAAAAAAAAAATTGTGCTTGTATCACTGTCATTGTAAAATAGTTATTTATGCAACTAGTGAGTAAAGTGTATCTTTTTTTTCCGAGAAGGAAAATTTGCCGCACGAGCCGAAGACGAGTGCGCAAATCCGCCGAGTAAAAAAAAGCCACGTTACTCACGAGTCGCATACAAAATTTTTTTTGCGTTTGTAACAAAACTCAACACCCACCAACTTCAAAAACTTTTTATTTTGGAACATAGATATTAAATGTAGCTGTATGTGCCGTCTTGACAATTTTTTCGGGGGTGTACGAGAAATCTTCATCCCTGTCCGATTCCATTGTCCGAGCACATAAATTACCACAACACATCGAGAAAATTAATACAAACCACTTGTGTCGATGACAGCAGTGAAAACTGGCTTTTATTTAAGGTAGTTCCACAATGTTATTGGCTGCACTGACGGAACTCATGTGCCCATAATTTCTGTGGGAGGAAATAATGCAGAATTGTTTCGGTACAGAAAAAAATATTTTTTTCTGTCAATGTCCAGGCGGTCTGTGATGCAAATTTGCTGATACGTGGTATTGATGCCAGATGGTCTGGATCAACACATGACAGCACAATGTGGAAAGCCTCACTTTTATGTGCCAGAAGTGAGAACATAGAATTTATACCTGGTCACTTACTAGGTGATAGCGCCTATGCATGCACAGAATTCAACTCCTGTGTTAAACCCCACTACGCCAGGAGAACACAATTATAACACAGCTCATATTCAAACGCGGAATTGTATTGATCGCTGTTGGAAAAGACGCTTTGCTTGTTTGACTTTAGGTTTGCGAACAAAACTGGGAACCACTTTATCCATAATAATTGCCACAGCTGTCTTGCACAACATCGCAGTTCACCAAAATGAACCCGATTATTTTGAGGATATAGAACTCAATGGACAAGTTGAGGAAGAAATTAATTTTGTTGATAATGCAGGTGGTAATGCAAAACGAACAGGGTTAATCAATACAGTTTTCAGATAAATGAAATACAAAATACATTATTATAAAGTTATAATTGTTCCAACTGTTTTTTTTTTTTAATTTCTAATTCAATTTCAAACAGCTTCTTATTGCGTTCAATCTGTTGATTTAATAACTCCAGTTGTTTGAATTTAATTTTTTCTTCAATCCCCAAAATTTGTCTTTTTTTCTCAACAAGTTCTTCATCTCTCTGGTCTTTGAAATTTTTTCTTTTGACGAAACGGTTTGTGAGAATGTCAATGCATTTCTTCTTCCCTTGATTTTCGTTTCGAAGCTAGAGTTCTTTGGGTGGGGGAACCAACAGGCGAAGGTGCAGCCATTAACAAAAGACTATCATCTTCAATATATTCTGCATTATCTATAAATACAACATAGTTTTACTAATTGGTTTTTTATTCGTAGTTTCTTAATTACCCTTTATAATTATTGGTGACGGTATATTCATTGCTGTATCGTCCTTTTCAATGGTTAGGAATGTAGGGTTGTTTGTATTTTGTTCTAAGAAATAACATTTGGTAAAAATGTGAACATAAATAAATTTTTCACCTATACCGAAATTATTGCTAATAACTGTTTGTAGATGAACCGACATTGCTTTGGTTGCTTCTGGATCCTCTAAATTTAAAAGTTTTATTAAAAAGTGTAAATAATAATCGAATATTCATTGTTACCATAGTTTGTGAACAACTTGTTCTTAACCTCTGCCCAAATTAGTTCTACTGGATTGAGCTCATAGTACGGTGAAAGTCTGACTACTAATTTATTTTGTGATTTTGCCATTTCGTCTACGGTATAAATATTTATAGCCAGTTTGTATTCTTTAGCTACTTGTAATAATTCGGCCTTAAGTAAGTCATTTCCGTACTCGATATTTTATCTCGCCAGTCTTTGATGTCCTGCGGGAGGGGGAGGCCGCATTATTCATAACGATTACGACTTGGTCTTCAAGCTCAGAAGAAATTTTGCAAATCACTGTTCAAATACTTTTACGTTCATTTCTTCATGGTGTAACCAGCCTAACTAAGCTGGGGCGTGAGTTAAAAAAAATATGATATTTTGAAAAATTAAATTATCTTTAATCGGGTAGCGTGTTTTTATCTGGTCTTCTACCTGAGAAGTGTTAATCACACATCACAGAAAAATGGGAATTCTCTTACCTTTCGAAACTTCCCTTTTCGCTGCTCGAGGGCACGGAGTCACTCACTAGTACCGCTGTCTCAATGCACTATTATTTTTAATGGAAGGGTTGGCCGCAAAGTCCGCGAAAGAAAGTCCAACGTAGTTGAAAATCGGTCACCCTTATTTATTTACACACACTAATGAATTAATCAAAAATTTACACAAGAAAACCAAAATGAACAAGTGGATCACCACTCGCGGTGACTTCCACAAATTTAGAAAATAAAACAAATAAAAATTTAACACTGAACAAAAATGAACACTAAGACACTTTGATGCAAAATTTAAAACAAAGAACGCGACGAGAAGGAACGAGGTGCACACTACAAAATCCCGGCCAGAGAACTGACAAAAATTGACCAAACTACTCTTTTATAATTTCGCCAAGAGTGGAGATTCCACCCGACGTCAAAGGGGCTAACAAAGAAAAACCAATGGGATGAAACCCCCCTGTGTTGGAAATAAGTGCTTTCTCGTTCTCTCTTGTCTATACCAACAAAACCGCTCAAATCGCCGTCGATTTACATTTTTTTATCAAAAAGTCCCTAACTATAGCAATTACAGTATAAAATAACTCAATCGAACAGCTTTTTGGAGTGGCCACTGGCTCGCGACTTAACTAGGATAGCCAGACATAGATCTCGAACCCATCAAACGTTCTTTTACTTATGACTCGACTGTTTCTCACAGGTGGGAACGCAAACTTTATTCCACCTGTGGTAGGCTAGATCTATGTCCGTCATCCATCCGAATTTCCAACCTTTTCGTTTCTCAAAACATCTGTACATAATTATTTACAAAGTGAGGAATCGCATCACGCTATTTCGATAACGGGATTTCTCAAACAAAGCCCTTCTCTGCCTCTGTGCCCATCCATCATGGTCGCTATAAAACTGTGCCGTTTTCTTGAAATTCGATAAAGGGCTAGACACGCTTGAAACTCAATTTACTTTTTTAACGACTCCCTCGGAAAAGATTGGACATGTGGTACTATAAAGTTAACCCGAGGGTCCAGTGCCACATGCAGTGAGGACGGGATATAGCGAGATGGGACAAAGGAAGTATATGGATCTATTTGTTGGGATTTTCTGGGAAGGTTCGAAAGAGGTGATTTTTAAGGGGTCGTTAACAAGAATTCGACCCATGATGGACAGCCGAGACAAATCAGCTCGCGACAATGGTGACCTTTTTGGGGTTGCACGTGCACTCGTACAAATGCACTTGTTACAATGGTAATCGCCATTTTTTGATTCAAACACCAATAGGCTATCGTCAACAATCGCAGCTTCACTGCCTGAGTTATAATCATACGCTTTACTTTTCTTGCAGGATTTCTGAGGTCTCTAGATACCCCAGAGAGAAGTGCTTGTCTAGCTGACTACGCTTTGGTCAATCCACACCTTGGTCTTTGTGTGGCCAGCGTTTGTCCACGTCTCATCTAAAAAATATATATTTTTGTTCTCTTACCTCAATGACATAATGGTTCGTAAATACTTCCTTCTCTACACTATGATTTCATCTTTTTCAACTAAAGCAAATGCATGGTTTTCTTGAAATTCTTTTATAATACGATATACGGATCGTTTACTAACCCCAGCACTGTTATGGGATTTCTTTCATCTACACTGTTATCATGATGTAGAGATGGTACTAGCAAAGCAACTTTCCCTTTTTTTGGCACGTAAGAAGCAAGTGTACATTCTTCTGTGAAACCAAACATACCTGCTAGAAAATGGTTCTCTTTTTTTTGAATTTACAAATGCTGGTGGTATATGGAGTTTATGTTTTCTTATGGTTCCTACAAGCGTTAATTTGTGTCTTTCCCTTAAATTGAAAAGAAGATCAAACTTGTGTACCAGTTGTCAAAGGTGATGTTTCGTTTAGTGTCTAATACTGGACTAACGAATCGGTCTACAATATCTTTCGGACTAGTACTAATTTTAAATGGGCTTTCAGGTTGCTGGCCCGCAATTGTTTCCATATTGACAAAGTAATAACTACGTGCGTCCACCAAAGCGTGTACTTTTAGTCCACATTTTACAGGCTTAATAGACATGTATTGCCTAAATGGACAACGACCACGGAAGCTTCCTAGTTTATTATCTATAGTCAAATATTATGAAGGAGAATAAGCCGATTTGCAACAAATTTTTCAAATACAGCCCTGATTTGAGCTAATTTGTTCAGCTGGACTTTTGCTTGACGCTTATCTTTGTTGTCAAAGCGCAAACAAGCTAACCAAAAATTCAAATATTATGGTTACTTTTGAATACTCCTGACAAATACAATAAACCAAAGACAGCTTTCATTTCAACCACCGAGGTTGTACCATAATGAGGTGAAGCTTTCCATTTATCGGATTTTTCCGGAACCTTTTCGTTGGTGTGTTGGAAAACATTCTAGGCGAATTTTGGAAATTCTTGCATCACCTTTGACTCCTTGGAAATCAATTATAACTTTTTCGGTTCTAGTTCTAACGCTCCTATTCCTGAATGTTTTCCACTATTTCATTCCATTTTTTCTAGGAAAAATCGATTCTGAGGTTCTAGAACTTCAGCTTCAATCTCGTTTTCCTCATGTTCAAAGGCATCAAATTCTCGTTCATCAACTTCAACTTCGTTTTCTTCACCTTCTGGAATGCCAAGGTCTTGTTCGATGTCGACATAGTCACAACCAACACTTATTTTGTCTGTTTCTTCGTCTTCTGCAGAATTGTCTCCATCAATGAATTCACTGTCGTTAAACTCATCTCAAAGAGCAGCGAGAAGTCTCTGTTCTTTTTCATAGTCAGTCATTATATGCCACACAAATTGTGGAAACTCGATACACAACATCATAAACATATCAATGCAAAAAAACGAATAAATAACAGAGCAAAAGTTGGACCAAAAAAGTTACACTAACCGACACGTGGGTTGTAACAAACCCCAGAGCACTTTGATGCGATGTGAAACTCTCCAAAGTCAGATTCATACTGCGGAGCATGCACGAACCTGTAGCTGGATACGTCTTCGGAAGCTGCTAAAACGGACGAGACGATTGGCGCTAAATTTAAATGTTTTCTTGTAAGTTTTCTTTCACTTCCGTAACCATAGCCAACGAAAACTGCAAAATAAAATAACATTTCAAGTATGAAATGTTTAAAATTGATAACAAAATATTCTAAAACACGAAACTGATTTTCTCTAATAACTTACATTACATTATATTATATTAAAATAATAAAAGAAATAGAGTATGGACAGAATATTTTTAAAATACAAACAACCAGTAGAAATGCAAACTGCCTTTGCACTTTTCATTCATACCATAAGAAATGCGATAATTAAATCACTTTCATAATCTGGGAATAGGTTTTTAAATACTATCAACTATATAAAAAAGGTAATAGAAAGTACAATTCATTGTATATAGAAGCATAAACATTATGAAACACATCACACTGCTTTCTTCCGATATGAACAAAACAAAGCTGATGAATAGTCTGCGAAATGCAAAATTATACAAACTTTCTACTTTCTTTTTTTAAAACGTAAATACGAGTACAATTGAGAGTCTCCAGTTTAGTAGCTAACCCTATAAGGTGGAAAGTAGTGCTATACATACTAAAATAGTTTTAATAGTTATTTATTTTGAGAACTCGGGGTCCGTCTCATACGCGGAGTTAAATTTGCCAGTGCATGAAAGTAGGGGCATTCTTTTTCTGGAATGAGGAAAGTGAGACCAATGGTTTGCGGTCCCACATTGGACACGTCGATCTGATCTGCTTCGAGTGATGTACTCAGTTCGTTATCATCTATAAAAAGTAAAAATATCTTATATTTGTTTTGTAGTGACTTTCAATTTGTTCACCTCGAGGAGGCAAAATGGTTGGTACTTTCCATCGACGCAGCCTTTGTGTTCCTGGTACACAATCCTCGGGTTGAAAATGCTGGAAACAAAATGTACCCCCTTCGATGAATTTGGTCGTGGGTCAAAACCACGAATTTCGGGTTATTCGAGGTTTCACTCTCGCAACACATCCGTGGACAGAACATGTGTGACTGCCTTGCATTTTTTTCTACAAAAATTGAAAATAATAATATTGTAAAGTCAAACTTATCTATTCAAATTTGTAAATTAGACACTGAAATCCAATAAAATAAATTCGCAAGTTGTTGAAAAGACAAATGAAGCAGAAAAACGTAAATTATGCGTAAATGGTAAAGACAAGTAAAGAGTGAATCATTTGGGATGAAATTGGAGACAAAGGGTGGAAGGGGAGGGGGTGTAAACAAATTTTAAAATTTTGAAAATGTGCGTGAATAAGCTTTTACAGATATCTTTTTATTCCGATCTGTGATGGCGGGCTTTGAACCACGCAGTGAAAGGATAAGGTGAAGGCTATCTTCAACCACTCGCACTCCTTCGTATACGCAAATGTTCGAACGCATACGAATGTCAAGTTACGAGTGGGTAGATGCAATTGCATTTTGCTTTGCGAGTGGTGAAACCTAACCTAAAACTCAGTTTGGTTTTGGTCGTTCTGTGTTAACATCAATATAATATCTTTAATCTGCTGTATCTGTTATTATACATCAGTGTTTTTCAACCTGGTACTT